GCTGCACTGTGTTGCCAGGCTTATTGGTGTTTTGTTAGCGGACGCCGCACATCAGCTAAACTGTGGCGGGTAGGCGCTTTGGCATGCTATGCTTTTAGACTACCGGTTTAGGTAGAAGTTTCTTTTACGCTCTCTTGCCGAATGAGAGCGGTGAGAGCTACAGGTCTGCTGTGGGAGCCATGAAATCTGTGCCCAGTCTTTGCACAATGCAAGACTATAGTAGTTTGTAGTAGATTGGCTCAGTACAACGCGTTTTCAGAATACTTCCGTCATCTAATGTGATATTTTGTCGATTCCATCTCGTTAAGGATATGAAGAAGAAATGTAACCAGCTATCTGGTATGCCAACGTTCGAAAAACAGCGCATCTTTTAATGGATGCGCAACATGGTGTACTGTGATAGTGAGATATTATTTCGTAGATTCCTAGCCGCCGTAGAAAGTTGTAGCTCAGAAACAGGTGTTTATTTACGCCGAAATTGGTTACCATACCAAGAGAAGTAGGCAGGGTATGCCGTGAGGACTAGGTTGACTTTAGGAAACCTAACTACCAACCGAAAAAGGACGGAAAATAGACAGGCTTGTCTCCTTGGTCTTCATTAGTGGATGTATTTAAAAAAGTACTACAATGATTAAGGTCACTGGAAGTGATGCATGGAAGTCGCCTTGCTAAAGATTTCATGAGGGAGTATCCGACACCCAGAGGTATGCAGTCGTTTAAACCGTTGCTTATACGAGTAACACCATTTGCGCGGAATATATTATTAAGTAACTGGAAGTCATGTAAGATTGAACGAATTGTTCACGAGAGAGGGTTCTGCATGGTCGTGGATAGTAAGGGCAAGGGTTATAAAGTAGTTACTGTAGGGGAAACGAAGTGAGTGCTATTTCTATGCGCAATGGTTGTTGCCCTGTTTGTATATAGCCGGGGTACTCGATCTGATTGATTGGGATATTCAAAGTCTTATTCCAGTTAGGTGGATTATAAACCGCAGCAAAAAGCATTCAGATCAGAACTCCACTGTGGCAATAGTGGCCTCAGGAAACGTCATAGGAAAGCCATCAAAGTTAGCTCAAATAGAGGACGTCCTTCAAGAGCTGGGCGTCTATTTGAATAGTTTAGGTAAAGTGAATTACAATTCTCAATGCAATCAACTTTGACGTGTAGCAGCTATGATAGGGAAGTATCCGGACATCCATATATTATTTGATAGACAGAGCTTGGCAACACAGACTACGGAAATTAAACGTACCTGTCTTCCGTCTACGAGTGTCAAGGTGAGAACAAATAATCCACAAGTAGCTTCAACAAGTGGTTCGACTGAAAAGCGGAAATCGGTTTTAGTGAGTAGATCAGTCGACAGTGAGGACGACGAGATAGTCCTAGGTGACCCACTGAAGCATGCTGTGTTCCCAAGACTGAAAACAACGACATCAGCGAAGTACCAACTGGACGCTAAACGCAGAACGCAAACGAATCCCGCATCACCAATGAAGGCCAACTGTTGCAGTGTCTACAAATCTGCGTGGAATACGGTCGATTTGGACGATGAGCACTAATGGATCCAATACCAGAAATTCGGGCGCCGAATACACAGCAGTTGCGCTGCTTACAGTGGAGAGGAAGCATACGTTTGTGTGCATTACCTCAGTCGATGTGCATTGATGTCAAAAGCTCAAAGTGACTGAAAACGGCCCTTTCAGGGCCACACCAATTTGATTTATTTGTCTTTGGGTTATTAATTCTGTTCAGGGCTCATTATATCGATATAGATTCTAATTCAGATTGGATGTTGTGGGGGCATTACCTACTTTCTTTCCGAGCAAATTCCCAAGTGGAATAATTACGTGGATGGGCGGAAATTGGCGGATTAGTCCACGGGCACGCGGTTTGGAGAGTTTCATGCTTTGCCAACGACGTCTATCCATAGGATTACCGACGAAGAGATCACAGACCCCGTCGAGAAAGTCAGTTAGTTTCAGAATAGTATTTAGAATAGCTTTTGCCAGTTATATGGAAGATGTAATTCCTAAAGATTTGGTATTGTTAGATTTCCTTTCCGAGAACTCGTTCATTTATATTACCGATTAATTATTTTTATTTTTTTAAGTTAAATAAATTTCCCTTCAATTTTTTTGGTTGTTTGCTGCTTTATTGAAACTGGCGTTATGTTTTGGGTCTGTAATAAGCGGAATAGTTTTTGAGCAACAGTGGTCTCCAGTTGAGACTTTTTCATGGCTTGGAGAATGGGAATCGACCAAATGACCTTGAACGTTTTGAATCAAGCCGCGTTTGGATGCTGCGCGCCTACCCCGCTGTCAGTAGTAAGCTGCAGTACTGTGCTTGCTTTTAAAAAGGCACTTGATGAGTGTTGGATAACAGTTTTCCCTGAGGTAAGCGTTTAGTACCATCTATAACCAAACCACAAAGGATGTGATACTGCACCACATATTTCTGCCTTCCAGAAAAATTGCATATCGAAGTGTACGAAGCCAAGGAAACTCGCCGACAATACACAAATCTGGAAGCTCGATTGGCATGAGCCACAATTCGTCCTGCGAGAAATGAACTGAACTGCAAAAAAGGTTTTTAGGGGAGCCATTATGCCTCCTGTTCAACAAAACTCTAGAACAGGGCAGGATACCACAGGACTGGAAAACAGCAACTGTGGTCGCCATACACAAGGGAGGGTCGAAATACAAGGTAGAACACCACCGTCCAGTTAGTCTCACAAGCATCCTGTGCAAAGCGCTTGAGAGAATAATCAGAAACCACTTATGCGAATACCTCACTCAGCACCGGTTGCTGAATTCGGCACAGCATAGGTTTCTGACAGGAAAATCCTGTCTAAGCAATCTCTTGCACTTTTTAGATGAGGTCACAGCGAGATTAGGCGAGGGAAAGCAAGTGTAAGTATGCTACCCGGACTTTAACCAAGCATTTGACTCAGTATGTCATCACTTACTGCTGGCCAAGATACATGCTTTAGGGATAAGGGGTAACATCCACAAGTGGCTAACAGCTTTCCTGGCCGATTGGACCATTTTGGTTCGGGTCGGAGAAGCGAACTCGCCAATGGAAAATATTGTCCGTGGTGTTCCTCAGGGATCAGTTCTAGGTACACTCCCATTCTTGCTCTAAATCAATGATCTGCCTGAACGCCTAGGCTCGCCTAGCTATATATTCACGGATGACGTCAAGGTGGTAGGATCCAATAGGAGAGAGGAGTTCAGGAGGGACATAGGAGAAGTGCTCAAGTGGTCAAGTATATGGGATTTGCCTCTCAACGTAGATAAAAGTCATGTCTTGATCACTGGAGACGAAGGGTTGATAGTGGGGAGTAGTTACGGTGGTATTTCACTAGGAACGACGTAGAAAGCTAGAGGTTTAGGAATCTGTGATGTGTGATACTGACCTCGAAATTCCTTGTACACTTTAAATGCATTGAATATGCATAGTATACGATTCGAATAAAGTTCGTGTGCTATTCCATTCGAAGTTGTTCTATTTCGGGGATTGGTATTGCACGAATTCTGGAATCCCATTTTGAATACTATTCCAAATACTACATTTGGCTTCGCGGCCGGTATACTGAACAATGAATTCTACTCCCCTAGAATTTCTTGATCTTAACCGCAGTGAACGCGATATCGAGGATTATTTTAAACGTTTTGAGATTTGGTGGTTGACCCGTTCAAAGCCCGATGAAGAAAAGAAATCCGCTTTCTTTTTGAATGCTGCCGGTAAAAATGTTTATACATTAATCAAAAACTTGGCTTATCCTTCTCCACCTGTTTCCGTACCGTACAGTGGATTTAATGATTTAATTTAATGATTTAAAATTCCTCCTCCTCCAGCATGTGAAGCCAACGAACTTTGAAGCCTCAGAACGAGCAAACTTTTATTCAGTGGTACGCAATCCGAATCAGGGTATCCGTGAATTCATCCTGGATTTGCTCACTCAAGCTGCAGAGTGTGATTTTGGAGATTTACTGGATATGCAATTGAAAGATTGGCTGATCGCTGGTATCAGTGGCTCTCAAGATCGTTCAGACGGAATCGTTTGACAAATTCTCCAGAAAATTGAGTTCAACTTGTTACATACTTACATACATAGATGCATAGAATTTGGTTAAACGAGCGCANTCAAGGTGTGTAGGTTGTAGAAAAGACAGTCTGATAACAGGACGAGCAAAATACAGATGAACGACTACCACGAAGGTGGGGAGTGAGGTCAGATTGAGAAAGACTGGTGGAAATGAGCAACATCATCATCATTATCATAAAGCATGAGATAAGGAGAGCCAGTTTCCGAAAGTGAATAGATTGAAATAAATGTGATCCAAGTTGCATCAGCATAATCACCCCTCCGCCGCCACACAATTTTTGGGAAAGAGCTGAGTAGATGATAGTTTGTTTTTTATGGTGAGATGTTGAGACAGAATAAGATCCTGTGTTACAAACAAAGACTAGGTGAGCGCGTACTGGTTGCATCGTCATGTCGCGTACTATCGCGTCTTGTCGGATGCATCATCATCACGATCCGGGCATATATATCGGGACGAGTGGAGGGTAACTGAGCGAAGTTAACAGCAAGAATTGAGAGGCGGGGTGAACAAACTGTCTGCGTGAGAAAAAACTGTTGAATCACTCGGTATGAACCTTGAACTCGTGCGACATTAACCCATCAGAAAAAAGCGATGTGATTAAACACGATCCGCGTGACCGTCCGCGCCGGACCCGAACCTGGGCTCCTCCCAACAAGCATCACAAATGTCACAATGAGATGTGGAAGGCCACTCAATTGAGAGAGGAGAGTGAGAGCGGGGATCGTAGAAAAGAATCAGTATGTCCACCTCGTTAAGAGTGAAGATGTAGGGGGGGTGAGAGAACAGTACACTCAAAGATGTAAGCCTGGGTAAGCTCTGGCGATGATGATGATAATAATAACAATAATGACAGGAATAGGATAAAAAAGCCGTTAGATACTTCAGCAGGATTCAGCAAGGATCGGAACCATTTACTGATAGGTTGGTTTCGACAGTGTGCGCAGCGCTATGCTGCTGTATCGGTGCCCGGTTCAAAAATGTATCTGGTGACCAGGGGTCCACATCAACCAAACCGGATGATGATGAGATTTTTGTGACTGGTGAGGCATGAAGATTGCCTGGACTGTTAGCCGACGCGGCAGTCCTACTGGCAACTGCTGTCGTCAATTCGATTAGAGGACGAAACTGAGACTGCTGATGTGGATGATGATGATGATGTGGATAGGGTCGTGTTTGTAAATAGGTCGGATAGTCAGTGGAGTATATTGACGCTGAATGATTCGATGGATACTGTGCGTAATGTCCATTAACCAGGATTGGACGGTCGTCAGGTCGAACGGACATTGTGGCCCCGTTGACCAAGTTCGAGGTCCAGTTGAGCAACGGGTTCATAAGAGCTATTATGCCCGGTTTTGCTGTCTGTGACCATTGAGTTGGGATCACAGAATTACCGGGGCAGATGGAGGAATTTGGGTGCATACGATGCTCGGTCAGGGATAGGTGAGGATTGAGACAAGGTGATAACGGCATACCCAGAGAGGTCCCATTCAAACTGACAAATGGTTGGTTCATCATGGGCGATGTGGAATCAGGGACTGTGGACCGTGAGAGCATACCTGCTCGATTAGTTTGTCCCATAGAGTCAAATAGTCGCGGAACATCGTACTCATGGCTTCCAGTTCCTGTATACGTGTATTCAGGCATAGGCCAATAGGCTGGATTCGGTGGAGGAGTGGCACTCCGATCTAGGGAGGGAACGGGAACATTTGTCATCAACAAAGCTTGTGGTATATTGTTATTGTTATGATTAGTTCCAGTATTGTTGTGTCCTCGGATGGCCACTGTGGACGGTCCGGTGCCAGTGTTCATGCCGGCGGATGTGGAGGTAAGCATGGGGGTGCCGAGTCAGCATCGGTCGCTTTCAACAAACTGGACTCATTCAGTGGGGTACGTTCGGTCGAACTGTTCGACGGTAGTCCCGTCCGGATGCTAGAACTACGTGGTGTTATATTCTCTGCCGAGCGCATCCAGGATGGCCATCATTTACCATGCTTCGTGATCCTTGTAGACCCGTGTCGTGGAAATTCTTTAATTGGCGCATGTGTTACGGGACAAACGTAGGACAAAAGATGAGTGGACAAATAGAGCAAGGCCAATTACTGCTCCAAGAAGTTGAAGTAGGGAAAATCGTTCAGTGAACAAATATTCGTAAGCACTGGGTAAACGTTCGGTTTGACTCAGGGATTCAGTTACAGGTAGGAATAAATCTGTCACGTTCACATTATTTGTTGCTACGTGTGGGATAGCCGTAGATACCCAGGTCGGTGCTATGGTGTGGGTGAGCCGAATATCTGGTTGTCTGGGTCCTGTGACACGAACGGTCACTTCATGCATTCGGTAAATTGATGACGATTGATCCGTTTCTTCTCCGGTTGGAACAGTTAGAGAGGACGATTTGTACCGATTGTGGATGTCGGATGCCAAGCGATCAAATTCTTCGTCTGGCATTTCATGCGGAACACGATCATCATTCCAGACTGTGCAAGTGAAATTCTTCGTCTGAGGTTCTTCCAAACTGATGTTCAATGATAGTNAATATCAGGACATTCGCGCCGCTACGTTATCCATGCCGTCCACCATTGAATCTACAGCCATGTTCAATTCATTCAAGA